CCCGATATTTGGAGCTTTTGCTTATATAGGTGCCTATTACTCCCCACCCCCGTCCTGATTTTTCACACTTGCTATCTGGTCAGCCTACTTCCCTCCCCTTCCCCAACCCACCTTCCCAGTCCCTTTGCAGGGGCCCACCTTTTACGAAGCTGTGTTAATGCAGGAAATACCATCTATTTTGGGCTTCAGACCAATAGAGGAAGAGCCTTACTAACACAGAGGGAAAGGCTTCTATTCCCACTACTTCCTGCTTTGCAAAAAACAGAGGTCGTCTTCAACCCATTTTGGACTTATGAAATGGGAACAGATTTATTAATAAAATAAAATCCAAGATAGTTACCCCTGCATCTATCATCCATTCCCTGGAGATGGGAGACTGTGCTGCCCTTGAGCTGCAGGTTGTTTACTTTCATGTGGCAACACATCCCAGCCACAGAAAGAATCTTTGATTTATGGTAAGGAACGTGTACTACCGGTACATGGTAGCACTCTTCAGCCCTGAGGGTGCTCACCAAGCATATGGCAGGGTTGCAGCCCTTCTGCACTCTTCAGCTATTCTCACCTGGATGATTGGCTAGTTTGGGGAAAATCAAGGTCCCATGTCTAGAACATCCTGGTCATCAGACACCTGTTTTCTCATCTTGGTCTAAAATTGAATGTAGAGAAATCAACATTACAACCAACATTCACAATACATTTTGTAGGGATGGATCTGGCCTCTGTGACCCCTGTGGCTTATTTTCCGATAGACAGATTCCAGTCCATAGTCTCTCGTCTTAAACCCCCCAGTGCAACCCAAGGACTACCTGCTGCATTTGAAATCTCCTGGTCTCCCCATCAGTTCTGTGAGGGTCCATTTAACTTCCATCTCTGGAATATATCTAACAGTAGAGGAGTTTCCTGTCTTTTCACAACCCTTGGTATCTAGATTTTTAAAAGGTCCTCATTCACATGGAATCTTTGGTTTCAGATCCAGTACCTTCATGGGATTTGAATTAAGTTTTTGTCTTGTTTAATGGGTTCCCCCTTCAAAACTTTACTGACAACTTCCCTATCATTGCTATCAATGAAAAGTGCCTTTTTGGTATTTATTACTCCTGCAAGGAAGGTATCATAGCTCCAGGTACTACTAACTGATCCTCCTTTCAGGATATTTCACAAGGACGTGTTCTCCCTTTGACCGCACCCTAAATGCATGTCTAAGGTTGTATCTACATTCTGCCTCAATCAGACCATTCTTCTTCCAGTTTTCTTTCCTAAACCTCATTCTAGCAAAGCAGAGGAGAAATGTCATACTTTGGATGTTTTTGGAGTGCTCTGTCCTTTTACCTGGTCATCACAAAGTCTTTCAGGTCTTCTCCTAGACTTTCTGTAGTCTTCTCTGAAAGGAAGAAAGGGCAATCAGTTACAGCCTGTGACGAAGTGGGGGTGTAGGAGGCACGGACTCACCCCTGCAGCGCCTCCTGCTGGGCATCCAGGGAATTAGCTCACCAGCCTCTGGAGCGCCCTCTGCAGGGCGGTGATCCACCTTGTCCTCTGCACTGGCCCCGTGTCCCTCCCAGGACCCCGGTGCCCCTTGCTCTGGGTGCTGCCCCCTGGCAATACCCACACACACACTAGGTCTCCCCTCCCAGAGGAACCCCCACCCACTAACCCCACCTCGCCTCAGGAGAAGGCCACTGCCAGTCACCAGGTAGCCCCCACTCTCTGGGACAGACTGCAGTATAGGCCACTCATCATCGGCAAGGTTGGGTTTGGACCTGCTGCCTTGGCCTAGCCATGGGCTGCCCTCTGCAACCCCCAGTACCCCTTAGCCTTCTCCTAGGACACAGCCTGGGGCTTTCCAGGCTGGAGCTCCCCTGCTCCTCAGCCTTTCCCCAGCCCTGCTCCACTCAGGTACCCTGTCTAGCTCCCTGCAGCCAGGCCCTTCTCTCTCTGAAGGCAGAGAGAGAGACTCTTGAGCTCTTTGCTCCCAGCCTCTTTATACCGGCCATCTGGGCTCTGATTAGGGTGTGGCCCAGCTGCAGCCACTTCCCCCAGTCAGCCAGGGTTTTACCTTGCCCTGCCCCAGCCCTCTGCAGGGCTTTTCTAACCCCTCAGGGCAGGAGCGGGTGTCCACCCCGCTACAGGGGGGTTTTCTTGTTTTCTGTGGAGTTTCAATGGCTTGCATGCGGAGGGGGTGGGACTCAGTTTCCCTGGGTATTACTGGTTTAACGAGGTGAGGGGGAGAGGGAGTTTGTTTTGCAGAGGACCCGAGAGAGGACTTGAGGACCCAGCCGATGGCCGGGAGGATGGATACCCCAGTGACCGGTGACCTGGTGACCCGGAGGCCCAGCTGAGGAGACGCAGCCAGTTCTGGCCAGTGGGTGGACAATGGGCTGCAGAGTGAGGACCCAGTGACTTAACCAGCCGGTTCTAGCCAGAGAACAGAAGCGAGGAGAGGAGGCCCCAGTTTACAACCCTGTTTACCTGGAGAGAAGACAATGGACAGAGGCGGGGTCTGGGGCCGGTGAGCTCAGATGCCCAGCTGGGAAGCAGGGGGGCTCTGGGCTGGAGAGGGGGAGCAGGCAGCGCCCACCTGGATGCAGAGAGACTGGGATGTGCTGGGCTGAGGGAGGCCAGGCCTGAGGCCCTGAGAGTTTCCTGTGCTGTGTTCAACTCTCAATAAACCCTCCTGTTTTATGCTGGCTGAGGGTCACTCCGGTCTAGAGAACAGGGTTGCATCAACCCCTTTGGGGGTGAAGACTAGTGGGGTCCAGAGCGAGTGGACTCCCTGAGGGGGCCCATGGCGAGAAACAGGTGTGCTAAGGCTCCAAGAGGTGCGGGTCCAGTAGGTGGAGGGGCCTGACCCCGAGAGAGAGTGGACCCCCGAGAAAGGCTGTCTCACTAACAGGGGCACCCCCCACGGACTGCACGGGGCCAAGAGTGGGCACGATCTGTGAGTCCGTGACACAGCCCAATGTATCATATTGGTTTTCTGACCATGTCAAGCTCTGCTGTAATCTAGCAAAGGTTTCTCCTCCTCAGAGGATAACAGTCCATTCCCCTAGAGCTCATTCCACTTTGTCAGCCTTCTTGAGCAACATACTGATAATGGCCATTTGCAAAGCAGCAATGTGGTCATCTGTACGTACCTTCTCCAGACACTATGTTATCGCTCCAGCTTCCTGAGATGATGCCAACTTCAGCAAGTCGGTGCTGCTGTCTCTCTTCGAGTAATCCAAAGTCCCACCACCTGTAAGGAAACTGCTGGTGAGTTACCTACAGTGTAATGTCTACAGTCACTCCAAGGAGAAAAAATGGTTACAGTACAGTGTACAGTAACTGTTCTTCAAGATGCGTTGTGCTTTATATACATTCTCCAACCCTCCCACCTTCCCTGCTACTTTGGGTATGGGATGGAGATGGGGGCCCTGCCGGTTTATACTCTTCGCTCTGTGCATGAGGATAGCCAGGGCGCATTCACTGCCTAGTCTCTGGCAAAAGTCTCTGACTCGAGTACATTCGGCGCACGTATACTTACAGTGGAATGTGTATGTATACATGACACATCTTGAAGAACAACAGTTACTGTATAGGTAAGTAACTGGTTTTTACCACATGTGGTAGCTTTACCCAGACAGTCGTTAAGGGGATTGTGTGGGTTAAAGCACTCTGCTTTGCCTGGGTAGGCAGCCAAACCTTTTCTGAGGATTCTTCATGTGGCAGAGCAGTGGCACGAAAAGAAGATTAATGGCCAGGCTATGTGGTCCTAGGTGAGCAGCTTGGAGTAGGGGATTTTCCAGGTGAGAGCCCAGGGGTTGAGTCAGGAAGAGGGGACTGTGTGTTAAGCATTTAAATTCCAGGAGAGTCCCTGAAGGACAGGAACACAAGCGAGCTGGTGACAGGGCAGCAGTGCTTTAGCTGGGGCTTCTACAAAAGGGGGGTGTCACGTGCAGTGTTTGACCCCCTCTCTCCAGGAAACAGGGCGTGTGCACATTCTGTAAATAAACGAATGGCACTAGGAAATAACCTGTCTGTTTGTCATTGATTTCTCCTCCAGACAGGAAGCTGGCCTGAAATATCTGCTAAAGTGGTTTGAGTCCTTCCTGGAGGGACTCAACCAATGAGTAGTTATGGGAAACTGCACTTCTACCACTGGACCCCTCACTTGGAGTTGTACAAGGAACAATTCTCTCTCTGGTCCTTTTCAGCATATATATGCAGCCACAAGGTGAACTGGTCAAATGACATGGACTGAAGTGCCAGCAATATGCAGATGATATACAGCTCCAGCTATCGTTCAGCACCTATGACCACACCACTACCACCAAGATGCCCCAGTGCTTGTGCGAGATCAGCTCATGGATGAAGAGCAGCCGGCTGAAGCTGAACCCAAGTAGGACAGAGGTGATGCTGGTGAGCAGAGGAAAGTATTTTGAAGAACTTACAGCCATGGTGCTGTCTCCATTGGATGAAGGTACATCCCCACAATTTGGTCTGTAATGTCGGAGTACTCTTGGATTCCTTGCTGATACTGAGCACTCGCGTAGCAGCATTTGTGAGTAACGTTTTCTACCATCTCTCCTTGGTTAGGGACTCCATCCCACCCTCGCAGATGAAGACCTGGCCTCAGTTGTTCACACTTTTGTTACGTCTCAGCTGGATTACAGCTTTATAATATGCCAGGGCATGAAACCTTCAGTGCTTAGGAAACTCCAACTAGTACAGAAAGCTGCAGCGTGTCTCCTCAGCAGCACAGGCTACCATGAACACATCAAACCTGTCTTCTTCTCTCTACATTGGCTTCCCATAGAACTTTGTATCCTGTTCAAGGTCGTGTTCAACACATAGCAACAGGTATATTTATATGAAAAAGCAAAACAAAAAAACCCACACGCTACCAAACCAAGACACTCCACTGCCCGTTTCTGCCTCTGGGGAGATGATGAGAGAAGAAATGTGACAGATGTTAGTCACATTGCTTAATGCACTACTAGAAGTCTCTCAGATCCTATGGCGATGAGCGTGGTGTAAGATCCTATATAGAACAGAATAGAAATATGCTAGTGCTCAGCAGAGGGCAGACATACACATGAGACTGCTCTCAGGCACAGATCCCCTTCTGTACGCTCACACCTTCCTCTGTACTTGCCATGGCTGGAGAAATAATTTATGCAGATTTAAACATTCCTGGAGCCAGTTCCTCTTCAAGGCCACCAAAACGATCTCAGCACCTCAGTAAGTGGATTTAGTTTCTTATTTTTGTACCAGTATGGTCAGTCTTTGGTTAGGATTCCATTGTTCTAAGATATTTTTTGTTTGACTTGCAGCAGAGATAGTTTAGAGAAACTGTGTCCAGAGCCAAGGAGCAGCTCTGTGTTTTATGTATGGTGGGTCTTAGCTGATGTGAAATTCTTTACCACTCTCAGCATTTGGCAGCTGAATTCCGTTAAGGTAATATAGTGCACTTTAGTTTGTTAGAACAGCATGTCACAGAAAACTTCATAGCCACTGACCGTCTAAACATGCAAATACAAGTACAATGCAATATAGCTGTACTTTGTATGACACCCTTCCTTGGTGCTTAATTTGTAATGACAGAGCTGCCAGGGCTCAAGCAATTTTTTTACTTTCATAACTGATGCAACAAGCCCAGAGGTGCTGGGGATATGAACTGCCGAGCCTAGAGGTGCTGGGACTCAGCCCTGGCACAACTAAGCACTGCCCTTCCTACTTATTTCATATGTGTTTGGGGCATACCAGCACACTATTGAGGTAACACTACATAGTATAGTGGGTTAGAGTTAGGGGGCAGAGAGCAGTACATTGGGTGAGTCTGGGAAGAATGAGCACAAGGAATGTGGGAGGCTCATAGAATAGAATGTAATTGTTTTGTTAGAGAGAAGGTTAAAATCCACATAGGTCTGAGAGAAGAGGTGGAACCTGAAATTCAGTAGGGAGCCAATTTAGGTGCAAAGGGTCCTGGAGACTGTGGCAGATAGTAGGTACGGGGGGGGGGGGAAGCACACAGGGAGGAAGGGTCTAGTAACCTCTGTAGTGATATAAGTAGGGAGAAGAAAGCCCAGTACCTGAGGAATGTGAGAAATTGGACTAGAAAGGAGAAGAAGAACCTGGCAAAGGGGGCTGTATGGGTGGGAATGACAGAGATAATGAAGGGGATTTTTCCACTGGATGCTGAAATGGGCACCAAACGAGGGAAGCTTTCCAAGGACAGAGATGGTGTTCTGTGTCTGAGCGCAGGAGAGACAGTGAGTTATTGCACTGTAGCTCCACTGGAGCATGGAGAGTCAGGAGTTAGGGGAGACTGTCAAGGAGAAGCCAGTGATGGAGATGGGGACAGTGAAGAGTTATCAGTGTTTTAGGAATATTGAAAATACAAGGAGCAATGTATTACAGTGTAACTTAAAGGATGTAAAGTGAGTATCATAAATAATTTTTGTTTTCCCTGAAAAACGATATTAAATGAGTTAAAAATCTTGGTACTTTGGAGGCTGTTTGGGGAAAAAACAATTTAAATATTAAATAGCTATTTTTAGAGTATATTTTCCATAAGTACACTAAGGTTATAGATTTCCATGAAGGGTAAAATTTTCAAAAGTGCCTAAGTGACTTAGGCATTTCTAAAATTCCCACTCTCATAGCCCAAATATTTCATCAAGCTGTATATCAAGTGTGACATGCTATAGTCAAACATACCTTACCTTTACTACCTTCATTTATACTTGTATATTGCCAACGATTCTGGCTTCCTTTATCTCAGACAGTTCCTTAAGTATAGCTACAAATGTGTTGCACTTTAAAAAAAATTCTTGCGATATACTTATACCTTGTGAACATAACTGAACTATTGTACAGCTTCTGAAATAGTTTCTTACAGAAGTGCCTAATAGAATTTTATTAACAGTTGATATTTTCCAACTGATCTTGCTTTGGTATCTATTTACATCATACTAAAACCTAGCGTAATATATAGCTGTCTAGTTAAATTTAATTCTTGTTGGGAACCCTCATGAAATTGTTTCCATGCACTTTAGATATTATTTTCAGACAGGATCTGATCTACTCTTGAAAAATATTTTAGGAGTTAGATTCTGCTTGCTACATCAGTGTAAATCCAGAGTGACTCCATAGAAGTCAGTGAAGTTGCTCCAAATTTACACCAGTGCATCCAAGAGCTGAATTTGATTTTAAATGGTTATTTAAGCCACAGTTATGGAATTGTGTTATGTTGAAGACTGGCACTGTGTTAATGAATGGAAATTTAGGCCCCAATCCTGTGATCTGATCTGATCCTTTATGAGTGGACCTTCATTCACACCTGTACAGAATCCCACTGAAGTCAATAGGCACAAGGGTCCACCCACATGGATCCAATTGCAGGACTGGGGCCTTAATTCACAGAGTCCAAGGCCAGAAGGGACCATTGTGATCATCTAGTCTGATGTCCCGTATAACCCAGGCCGTAGAATTTCCCCAAAATAATTCCTAGAGCAGATCTTTTAGAAAATAAATCCAATCTTGATTTTAAACTTGTCAGTGATGAAGAATCCACCATAACCCTTGGTGATAATGTATTTCCAGTCTTACAACTAAGGGCCTGATCCTCCAAATGCTTGCGGCCTGGGTGTAGAGCTTTGAGCTGTGGGTCGTCCCAAGACCTGAACCTGTAGATACTTATGTACATGTTTAACTTTACTCAAATGAGTCATCCCAGAGAAGCAGTCACTCACAGGTTTAACATGACACCCATGCTGAAATCTTTGCAGGATCAGGGTCCAATGCTGAAATTAAAATGAACTTGTCTTAAAAGTTGCTGTTAAAATCATGAAGTCACAATATTGACTTCATATAGTAGTTAAATTGGAAGACAGATTCCAGTGTAAGGTTGACTATGATCTTCCCACTTCCTTTTCCTACAATCCCTCTCCTTTTAGCCTGAAATAATTCATGTTAGTCGGAAGCTACATGATAATTTCCCTTAGAAACTTTAAAGTAAATTCAACAAGCCATTTTAAAATGAAGACAGAAAACACAACCACCACCACTATTAACTATTCAGCTTTAATTAATATGAAATTTGCCAGGTGGTGATGCTAAGAGGTTCTAGTTAGGATCAGAGGTCTCATAGTGTTAGGTACTGAACACGTATAGACCAGACAATAATTTTTCACTTTTCAAAAATTATTTCCACTATTTTTATCCACTCATAATTCCAGAACAATTAGTTCTGTAAAGTTCAAAGTAGTGATCTGACTTAGGTTTCTATGAAAATCCTCACATAAAGATCCACTTTTATGAACAGAAGGGTGCAATTTTTGAATTGATCCAGAATTAACAGTGATTACAATAGGAAGAAATGTAACTCTCCTGTAGTGATTACAAATGATGTAAGTAGTCTTTAGAGCATCATAAGCTTCATTTGTAACAAAAAGTTAGTTTCTAACCTTCTCCCTAGTGTACGTAGTTTGAAAGTGTCGAATGCGTTAAGTTTAAAGATGTTTCTGTTTACAAAATATTACAGAAGATCACGGATCAAAATCGAGACACTGAGCCAATGTAACGGCATTCTTACTTCTGTGTGAATTTGGATGTTACCTTAGTGGAATGTCTCTGTATGTAGTGCACACCTGGGTAACTGAGATTAGACTCTGGCTCACTATCTTCATTTCACAATATAATTCTCAGGAAAGGAACAAACCATTAAATTATTTTGCCTGGGATTTTCAAAGAAGTCTAAGGGGCTTTAGCCACCATTGAAACACTGCTAGGCTCCTTTGAACATTACAGCCATAGTAATATTTAGGGACACGATAAATCCACATATATGGTGTTTGAGTGAATGTCAGCTACTAACTAGTAGATTTCATTGAAGACTGAATACAAAAATGAACAATCAAATAAGACAACAGCTTTGTGAAAAACAATGCAAAATGTATTAAAATCTCTGGTGTGATAATGGAGGTCAGATTAGGTGATCATAACAGTCCCTTCTAGCTCTAAAAACCTATGAATTACTGGAAAATCTAAGGTCCCAATCCTGGAAATACGTAGGCATGTGAGTAGTCCCATTGAACTGAAACTGAACTATTTCTATTGCATGTATTATCACCACCAACACATGTTCTGCAGGGCAAATTCTCTGAGAATCATCTGTACAAATCCATTTAGAGCTTGTTGGAAAGTGTCCTCCTCTGGCCCCGGACTGAAAATTTTTACTTTTTGGCATAAAAGTATAAACTGAAATATTTCAGTTCTGAAATGCTGCCATAGTGCCTCATGGGATTTGTAATTTGGGTGCCTCGTGTCTCCATTTTCCTCTAGAGGGCTGGGCTCCCTGCTTGGAAAACATCTCCCTGATGGCTCATGGTCTCTCGTCTTGGCAAGGGGAGGCAGTGCATTATGGAAATGTTGTGTTCATTTTGATGGAATAAATGGGCCCAAAGGGTCAGCGATGTTAACATGACTCTGTCACTGTCTAACATTAAATAGTGTTAAACCATCTTGCTTAGTCCTATGGTAAATACACCATTAAAATAATTTTAATCTTAAAGATACAGAAAGAAAAAGAGTTGAAGCATTTGAGATATGAAAGCCTTACTTAATACTTTATTTTAACACCATTCCTTATTTCCTTTCACGTTTAACTGGAGAGTTTTAGAAAGAAAAGCCCCGTCGTTGACAGTTTTTAGATGGCATTGTTATGGAGTCACGGGACTGACGCTCTGGAACTGCTCCAAATGAAGCCAGTCAGGCCTCTGGTGTAGCAAGCCTCCGACACTGTCACGGGGCAAGAAGCTTGCATGGCTTCAGGCTTCCTGGGTCTGACCTCGGAGCATTCAGCACCCCTGTTCTCACTGTGCACTTCCTGCAGCGAGTCCGCCTGGATGGAACATTCAGTAAAGTCCATCCTAGGGGGAGGGGAGCCCAGAGCCAGGGCTCTTGCCCTCCCCCGGCACCCAAGCCCCAGAGACTGACTCGCTTCCAGCTGCCTGGCCCCGACACCTCCGTTTTTTGTCTCGCTTGCTGGGCAAAGTTTCACCTGGTCGCATCCCCCTCCTGGTTCTCAGGTTACAAAGGGCACCGTCCATCGCTTAGTGCAGGCAGCTGGAGTTGCCTCACCTGCCCCCTAGGGTCTGAGGAAAAGTCACACACCCTTATTCCCACCACCTAGGCATTGGTGCGGTACACACAGTATTCATGCAAAACAGTAAGACTCACATAGGCTCATGTACAACATAATAAAGAGGAAAAACCAATTTTGTCACAGGCATTAAAGATGGTAATACCTGTCCTTTTTAGGCAAAAGAGAAAAGGTTAATTGAGACTGGCTGGAGCTGTTGATCTTGTTGTTTAAAGTCTGATCCTGATTCTCTAAAAGAGAAAACAAGACAAACAAAAAGGGAGAGTCAAGAACAGCAAAGTTAGAAAATGCAACTTCTGGTTTTGATGTTAACGCTCAGTTGTAACCTGGCTGCTGCAGAAACACAAGCAGGGCACACAATCTTATCAGAGTCCTGGCAAATTTGTAACAGAATCCAGCTGTATAGAGCAGGTGTAGGCAACCTATGGCACGTGTGCCGAAGGCGGCACGCGAGCTGATTTTCAGTGGCACTCACACTGCCCGGGTCCTGGCCACCGGTCCGGGGGGATCTGCATTTTAATTTAATTTTAAATGAAGCTTTTTAAAAACCTTATTTACTTTACATACAACAATAGTTTAATTATATATTATAGACTTATAGAAAGAGACCTTCTAAAAATGTTAACATGTATTACTGGCACGCAAAACCTTAAATCAGAGTGAATAAATGAAGACTCGGCACACCACTTCTGAAAGGTTGCTGACCCCTGGTATAGAGCATTACGGTTAGAGGCCTTTTTCTCATCACAGTGTTGGAAAATGTACAGTCTTGTCCGGCTAAGACTCTGATCATACAGAAGGCAAAAGGAAAGGGATAGGAAAGGGAAAAAAAAATAAGGTGGAGGAAAAAAGAACGTGTGTGTGTGTGTGGGGGGGGGGGGTGTGACAAAGTCTCACATCCCAGGTGGGGTTTGGAATTTAGCCAGAGCAGGTGGAAGTAGCAATGCCATCTGGGCTCCTCTCTCTGGGCCAGGCTGGTCAGGACATCGTTCAAGATCAGGATGACGAAGGCCCAATGGTATAGCAGTGGGTCTCAAGGTCGCAGAAGACGATAAGGGTGGCAGCCATGATGTTAGTGCTTGCTGCAGCGGTTGTCAGCAGACAGCTTCTTCTCTTGTTTTTTCCCTCCCCAAAAAGTCTGTTTCTTTAAGGACCCCGAAAAGGAGTGATGGGTAGAATAGCCCATCTCTTCATTATTTTATTCATCAGTTAAGCATAGTTTTGACACACCGAGTTTGTTTCATTAATTTCCAGTCCCACGTGACTCTTGTTAAGATCATGCTTGGTAAACACAGGCTGATTTGTATCAGTCGGCCTTTTGGTTTGGATTAGTTCCATCTTTCCATCTCCCTTTTTCACCCTTTCCTATCAACATTTATTATTACAGGTTATTGTGGCATGTAGAGAACTTTCACTCACTTCTCACAATTGAGCTCACAATTAGGATAAATTTGTAGCCCAATTATCACAACAGCACTTACATGGCCACGATGCATCACAAAAGATGAAGTCTGGCTGGGGAGTCTGGTCCATCAGGGCTGCACAGAGGTTTTTGGGGCCTTGGGCAATATTTGAAACTGAGACTCCCCACCCTTCTGTGTTTCACCCAATAACCATATTGTTCCACTGGTTTGGGGACACCCTTAAATGGGAGACCTGGGGCAAACTGCCCTTTTTGGGGTCCCCTCTGGGTGGCCCTGCAGCCCATAGAGGAGAATGGGGGAATAAGGCACCCAAACAACAATTCTGTGAGACACCACAGTGGGTGACATTTCAGAAGCAAAATACATCATATTGTGGGGTATTCCGTTTTTTGACAACAACAAAAAAACCCTAATTTTCTGCAGAAAGCAAACACTTTTAGCAAAAAAATTTTTAAAAAAGTTAGTCCCAAACCCAATTTTCTATCGAAAAACAATTTTAATGGAAAATTTAACCAGCTGTATCCATTGTATTAAACGTCTGCCCTCACTGACATATGGGCAAACCCATTGCCTGCAACAAAGCAGCAGGTGTGTAACTGATTGTAATGTAGAGCCTAGTTCTCCACTGCCGTACTCCTTTCTATGCTAACAGTGCTGATGCATCAACACAAGAGATTTACCATGCAGCCATATTGTTAAATAGCATTGATAATTTATCTTGTTAATAACTGGTCTCATTAGTAAGGATGGTTATAATTAGAATTTTGAAATTTCACAATTTGAAAAATAAAATTGGGAAAAATGTTCAACAAAATATGTGTAAACTTTTCAATCTGGTGTGTGTGTGTGTGTGCGCGCGTGTGGTTTTCTCCTCCCAATTATAGAGATAGGCAAAAATTTTAAAATTTCTAAAACATTAGAAACACTTGTGAAATTTTTATTATTAATTCTCTCCCCATCTCCCCACCACCTCTAATTATTAGTTCTTTCTTCAACTTTCAAAAATGATTTCATTTGCAGGGATGTCACAGATATGACAGGGCCTCTGATTGACAGATTTATTATTATTTGTATTACAACAGCACCTAGAACTTAGCCCCAGTCATGACTGAGGCCTCATTGTGCTAGGCACTGCAGAAACGTTTGGTCTCACAATCGGATCATTAACAAACTAAGGCCCCGGTCTGCTAAAACTTACACACATGCTTTACTTTTTTCATATAATGGGTCCTTTGAAGTCAATGGGACTACTCACATGCTTAAAGTTAACTGTCACCCTGTGTTTAGTGTTAGTAGACATCAGAGCCTGGCCTGTTTCCACATTGGAGAAGAATTCAGTGACATCGAGGCTGGGTATTTCTTAGTGTAATTTGTTTATTTACACTGTATACACCAATCCTGGAACAGAGGTGGTCACAAATGACATGCAAACAAACCCCTCTTTCAGGAGTCTCAGCCCAAACACTATGTCTGGTTCCCAGGAAGCAACTCTGTCCCAAGATGTGACTCTTGTTAGAGAAAGTAAGGCAGAGAGCAAACTCCCCTGCTGGTGCAACAGCTCCCCCACAAAGAAACTATACCACACAAAATGAACAATAGTATAACATTTCTTCAAAGACTGACCAGTGCTCACACACACTAGGAAAAAGAATGTATATGACTGTGTGTAACTGCGCCACCTGGTGACTCCTGACATAACAGTGTCTTTAGGATTGGGGTCTAAATAGGGTTAAAACACAACAGGTGTATTTAGAACATGAAGGAAGGGATAGGGGAGCGGGAGGACAAGGGGGATGGTCACAGGAACATAAGGTGGCATGTATTAGCTAGGTGAACAATTTGGAGGTTTCATAGTTGTGGGTTTTTTTTAATGAAGTAAACTATATTAATGAATCATTAACTGGCCACTTGCCTAGCCATTAGGCAGTTTACCATGGGTGTCAGGTTACAGAGGGAACTTAAGAAAGGATCTGAAGCGGGGCAGAGCAGTGGAATGATTTTGAGGGGGCCATCCCTGCATAAGGGACAGTGTGGGGAAAAGGTGGGAAGGTATTTCTGTGAGAAATGGGTGAAAGAAGCTGCCATTGGTAAAGCTGCCCCTAGTGTTATATGAAGAGGAGTGAAACTCCCAGGTAAGGGGGCTGGGACGGGCTCCAGAGAAGAACAAGTTCCATTGTTATTTCTCATGCTGGGGGCTGATAGTGTTTCTCCACATTGTCTCTTACAGGTTCCCCTCCATGTCCCCGGTGGCATCGCATCGCTGTAGGGGTCGGATGGGCTGGGAACATCGTCCTGACAATAGCTGTGATAGCCCTGGGAATTTGGGGTAAGTAGCGCCAATCTATTTGTCCATTTGGGCTTAATGGTGCTCCATGAATTCTCTTCTCATTCCAAATCCCACTGATATTCCATTCCTGATTTCCGTCCGTTTGCGAATGAAATCCTAGGCATTACATCACTACCCAGGTCAAAGTGTCACAGGAACAAGGTTCAGTTAAGAGCTGGATGCATGAAACTCATGTGATCTGACTTAGACAGATTCACAGTTACATGTGCCTGGAAGACAGAAATGCACCTAGATTGTGTAGTGAATGGGATTCCCTCTTCCTCTGTCCTCACCCTAGCTGTGATGGATACTGCACTGTGTGATGATTTTACATCCTCCACAACCATTTTTTTAAATTCCTAAATGGCTGCAATAGAAGTGATTTTCATTGACGCTGATGCTCTTTTGCAGTTTCCCAGTTGCATGTCTCTTGTGAAGGACAGACCAGAGGAAACCTGAACACATCGGAGAATAACAATACCAGATTCGTCAGTAACACTGAATGCGGCTCCTGCCTGGAAGATTTCCGTTCTCGCTTGAAAGCAATACTGTGTGCACCCCACCACGGCAGCTTGGCAGGTAATCACAGCTCCTTCTGTCCCAGAGCCATGAGTCACTTTCCCTTAAAGAATTTGCAGCACTCTCGCTGTGACTGAAAACCTAGTCACCATGTTAAAAGGACACTGTCCGCTTGAAATACAATGGACCAGATTTTCATTCAGACTGAGGTCTCTTAATATACATTACTCCAGTTTTGCCATCCTGAAGCATTCAAAAACCAAGAGTCAGGCCCCAAAAAATCATGAGATTGGCTTATTTTAGGAAAATTATACATTTTGGGTTCTTTATATTTGCCTTCTGGTTTCTTACCCTTTAGATTGCACTTGGGTCTAGGGTGACCAGACAGCAAGGGTGAAAAATCGGGACAGGAAGTGGGGGGTAATAGGAGGCTATATAAGAAAAAGACCCAAAAATCGGGACTGTCCCTATAAAATCGGGACATCTGGTCACCCTACTTGGGTCCTGCTGTCAGGCTTTTCTCTGCAATTATGAGGGACAGAAACTTTCTTTAATGAAACTAAGATTCTCACATAATCCCATGACTCCAGGAGCTGGGACTTAAAAGAAAACACCAAACTTTACAAGACATGTGATACAAATAGGAGAGATGGCAACATTACCAAAGTGACAGTGTAAAGGGAGCTAACCAGGGAAGCTAACTTCCATTTTTAGTCAAAGTGCTTGGGAGGCAGAAGGTTATTTTAAAAAAAAAACTAGAAAATTTCAAATGAAACAAGTGTCCTGTGAAGATTTTCATTTTGAAAAAAGGCAATTTTTTGTCAATCCACTCTACTCATAACTACAGCTGGGAAAACGTTGTTCAGCCAGCAGGGTGATTTTTAAGTAGATGGGGTGCCTTTTAATATGCTCTAATGCTTTAGGTGTGGTAGTGATGTGCTGTACACCCCAAGCTCCCCTGTCTTTTTTTTTTTCCATCAGTCCCAATTGATGGGTGCAAGATAAATGCAGTGGCTGCCTCTTTCGGAACCATTATGGTTATTTCACTCCTCTTGTCATCCTCCTCCTCTTTGTGTATCTCCACCTGTTTCTCATCCTATGTTTGGATTGGTAGCTCTTTGGGGCAGAGAGTCCCTGCATGTGTGCCCCAGCTCTTAAACTTCTGAAGATTGTCGTAAGCGGCTTGGAGGGTCAGTAAGTTTGGCCACCCCTGTTATAGAGCCATTCAGCAATTAAGGCTCTAAACCAAGCTGCATATTCGTTACAACTAGAGCCAGTCAAAAACTTTCCAGCCAAACTTTTTTTTCCTCATGATAAATGGCCCTTTAAAAAAAAAATTTTCACAGAAGTTTCATCTTGTTCATTCACTTACATTTCATTCAAAGTTTTCCATGCTTTTATTAAAAAAAAAAAAAAACCTATACATTTAAAACATCCCCACAATTTTTGGTTTTCATTTTTCATTGTCAAACCAGAAAACGTCTATTATTTTTTTAAAACAAACAAAGTTTTGTTTGTTTGGGATTTTTTTTGCAGAAAATGCTCATCGTTTTCCAGCGAGCCTTAACTATGACACACATGTCTAAGATTCCAATTACAGTGGATAGAACTTTGACAAAAAAGGAAGAACTCTTTTGAGGCTACTCTGCAGCCACCTCTGCTTTTCCAGTCATGGGATCTCCCCTCCCATCTCTGTTCATGCCCCTCAATCCTAAACTGCAGCCCCACTCCTAGCTCTGCCAGTGCCCCTCTTTCCCAACCCACGGCCCCCCTGCTATCCCAGCCCTGGGCTTGCCATACACACACACACACACACCTCTGCCAATATCCCGCCACACATCATCGTAAGGATCGTTCACTGGGGTTCAGGTTCTTTAGGACCATTGTCTTTCATTCCTGTTCCTTCAGAGGGCTCCGGATGCAAACTCTGCCCCATGGACTGGCTGCTGCACAGGGGAAAGTGCTACTGGCTTTCCAAAACCAGCCAAAATTGGAGTGAGAGCCGTAGTGACTGTGAAATGAAGAACTCTCAACTCCTAGTGATCCAGAACCAGGATGAAGAGATGGTAAAGTAAAAAAAAATATGGTGCTTAAACAGGCCTTGTATCCCTCAAGGGGGGAGGTAGGGGTTAACTTATGTCCCTGATAGAGGGATGTCTGGGGCATTAAGGGTAATCTGTAAAGTGGGCGGAGGGTGAGATTGGAGCTGGTGTCCTTGTTTTGCTTCTCTATGAGACATAAAAGCAGCCAGAAAGGATTTTTGTCAAAACAAACATTTTTTCCCCCCTGTGGGTACTTTACATTAGAAATCCAGGGTTTGTCAGCCCTGGGAGACTCTATGGTGACGAGCCAGCTAGTGGAAGGAAGATAACACAAGAATTGAGAGAGTGAAAGTTGAGCAATTGAGAGGGGAAGGATTTATAGTTTTGTTTACAAAAAATCCTTGGGTTTATTTGACATTACATACGTTTAACACAATGTCTAATGAATGCTTGTGAGCAGAGAAGTCTCTGTTAAAGGTTCGGGAGCACTGTCCCTTTAATTAAGTTTAAGAATCCACAATATAAATTTCTGAGACACCAAAGGAGTCTCCCAGAAAAATTAAGCAACACCACACCCCGAGGTGGATTTAGAGTTAGTGGGGGCCCCTAGCCCTGTGCGCAGCTTCATTTTTGGGGGGCCCTCCTTGGGACCCAGCCAAGAAAAAGAACATTCTCTCTTATCTCCCCTTCCCCTCCCCGTTTTTAATTTTTTTCTTCATCCTCCTCCTATATTATAAGTAATGGGAAGTAAATGAAAATAAAGTGAGGTACCTTGATTGGGGCAGGAGGTTGGGGTGCAGGAGCAGGTGCGGGAGTCAGGCTCTGGGAGGGAGTTTGAGTGCGGGATGCAGGCTTTGGGCTGGGGCAGGGCATTGGGGTGCTGGGTGCAGGCTCTGGGCTGGGGCAGGGGGTTGGGGTGTTGGGGGCGGATTCTGGGAGGAAGTTTGGGTGCAGGGGGCGGGGTCTGGGCTGGGGCAGGGGGTTGGGGTGCAGGAGAGAGCCAGGGGAGCAGCACTTACCTCAGGCAGTGCAGCTCCCAAAGCGATGGGCACACACATCCTTCTGTCAGCAGCTCCTAGGCGGGGGAGAGGGGGGATGGGAAGGGCCAATGGGAGCAGCAGAGTCGGCTATCAGGGCAGGGGCAGCACGCGGAGACACACACACACTCACACATGGGGCCACAGGGACATGCCAGCTGCTTCTGGGAGCGGCGCAGAGGGAGGGAGGCAGAGTGAGCAGGGAGACGTCTTAGCCCTGCTGCTGGCACGTCTCTGTGCGCGCCTTGGAGAGAGGGGGGCAGCAGGTCTCCTTGTGCTGCCTGGGGCAGGGGCAGCGTGCAGAGCTACCTCCCCGCCGCCAGGGGCATGCAGAGACGTGCCAGCAGCCAGCTGCTTCCGGGAGCAGCGTGGGACCACGGCATGCAGGCAGCTTGTCTGCCTGAGCCCTGCTGCGCTGCCGGCCAGGGCTCGGGGGCAGGTTGTCAGATGAGATTTGTCCTGCATTTTGGGGGCCCTGGTGTTTGGGGACCCCGTGCCACCGCACAGTTTGTTTCATGGTATATTTGCTCCTGACCACACCTAATATTGCTGAAATTTTTAAGGCAAAGGATAAGTATCAGGATGGGATGGGGGGGGTAGGAGCCCTTCTGCCCTGTTGGAGGAGTGCATGGGGGTAGGCTCCTGCTTCCTATGTATGATCCCTGGGCAGTGTGTGTGTTATGCAGCTAAGCTGGCAGCTCTCGCTTTTGCTCTTAGGGCTGTGGAAGGATTTGTGCCTCCCTCCCCCATCCGGAACCTCCCCCTGAGAGTTGTGGATTAGTTATCTCTGTGCGAAATGTCACACGTGGCCACATGCACAACTTGGCAGCTGTGGTAATAGGTGGCAAGGTAAACATTTGGGAAAGGGGAACAGAAAGAGAACACAAGCTTGGGTGTCTTTAACTACACCTGAATGGCTACATGGAGATCTGTGAGTCAGGTTCTTGACAAGGAGTAAAGATGCCAGAGATTTATAGCAGGTTATATTCACCCAGATGCCTCTATCATGTCAATGACAGGTTTTCATACAGAACATTACAGAAGGTGAACACCTTGTCTGGCTTGGAGTCCGAGTCACATTCCCAGAGGGGAAATGGATGTGGGTGGACGGATCTCCATTAAATCAACCCCAGTGAGTGTTACCTTGCGTTTGCAGTTTTATATGAGTCTGGAAAAAGATATATTGTAATTCTGAAACTATGAACAGTTGAATGCAGTGTACTCCTGGACTGTAAAGAGCCAAAAGTCATTGTACATGACCACAAAAAGGTAATTTTCCTTAAACTTGTACCAATTTTTGAGCTATAAACACTTAGATCTGAGTTAGGACCTAGCACGTGCAAAGAGGAAGTTAAAAGATGACTTGATCATGGTCTGTCAACACCAACATGGGAAAAGATTTCTGAGAGCAGAAAGCTCCTTAAATTAGCTGACAAAGGCGGAATGAGAGCCAATGGCTGGAAGTTGAAGCTGGAAATAAGATGCAGGTTTTTAACAGTGAGGGTTGTTAACCACTAGAACAACGTACCAAGGAATGGGGGATTCTCCAGCACTTTAAGTCTTTACATGAAGATGGAACGTTCTTTTAAAAAATATACCCTGGTTCAATCACAGGTTAATGGGATGGATGCTGGAATCACTGGGTGAAATTTTCTGGCCTGTGCTTTGCAGAAGATCAGACTAGATGATCAGAATGATCCCTTCTGAATGTAACATTTATTAATCTTATCATAAATGTCTTAACTCCAGTATATGCCCATCTTTATTGAGCTATATAATTGCTACTAAAACTCTCAAGAAAGAAAATTAAAAATAGGGGACACAAAGCTTCATTCCTCTGACAGTTCATTCTGCCTTCCTTCCCCAGACTCCCGGGTCCTGCCGAGAGCAACAGCTGTGGTGTGATCAAAAAGAATCAGATCCGTTCTGATATCTGCAATACCAAGTTCAAATGGATTTGCAGGAAGGAAGCTCTACTGATATAAACAGCAGAATGCCTGTTCTACCTTTGTACAATGAAAATCATAAAACCATAGAACTGGAAGGGACCTCGAGAGGTCATCTAGTCCAGTCTCCTGCACTCATGGCAGGACTGAGTATTATCTAGACCATCCATGACAGGTGTTTGGCTAACCTGCTTTAAAAAAGCCCCAATGATAGAGATTCCATAGCCTGCCTAGGCAATTTATTCCAGTGCTTTAACTACCCTGACAATTAGGAAGTTTTTCCTAATGTCCAACCTAAACCTCCCTTACTGCAATTTAAGCCCATTGCTTCTTGTCCTATCCTCAGAGGTTAAGAAGAACAATTTTTCTCCCTCCTCCTTGTAACAACCTTTTATGTACTTGAAAACTGTTATCATGTCCCCCGACAGTCTTTTCTCCTCCAGACTAAACAAACCCAATGTTTTCAATCTTGCCTCATAGGTCATGTTTTCTAGACCTTTAATCATTTTTGTTGCTCTTCTCTGGACTTTCTCCAATTTGTCCACATCTTTCCTGAAATGTGGCACCCAGAACTGGATACAATGCTCCAGTTGAGGCCTAATCAGTGTGGATTAGAGTGGAAGAATTACTTCTCATGTTTTGCTTACAACACACCTGCTAATACATCCCAGAACGACGTTCGCTTTTTTTTGCAACAATATTACATTGTTGATGCATATTTAGCTAGTGATCCACTATGACCCCCAGATCCCTTTCCACAGTACTCCTTCCTAGGCAGTCATTTCCCATTCTGTATGTGTGCAT